TACTCCTTTGCATCACATTCGTGATTAAATCAATACTTAAGTTGTAATAGGCAAATATCTATATACTAATGGCCTGGTGCACAAATTTGTGCACATTGAAAGGAAATTAATGAGAAGAAATATTTTAATATCGCTATTCACCCTTTCTCTGTAATGGAAGTGTCAGAGATTAAAGAAAATTCATAAAATGTATACGAAAATAATACACAAATTGATTAATAAACAACAGGATATAACAACAAAGACATGATATAAAAACAAAAACATGATATAAAAACAACATTGATAAAAACAATGATTGATAAATTGATTAAACTTATTCTAACACTGAGGCCAGTGTCAGAGGGGGACAAATCAATTCTTGGAATCAGAATCTCTCCTCCGTAGATTCTGTTAATACTTCAGCTTCAATTATCTTAGGTCTTTTCATAAAAAATCTAGTACAAAGACTCCATTTACTATTAAGATTTCTCAGTAGCATGATGATCGCACCTATTTTCAATTCTAATTTATGACATGGCATTCCCAAAGGAGTAATACTTTTAAGAAATTCGATGGGAAAATTTTCCTTTTCAGCATCATCCGTTGAATCTAGTATTATTGTCAATTACACTGTCGTCCCTGAGTCTTAATGCCATATCTGTTCCCCAGCCTTTTTCACCATCTGGGAAAAGAATAGGATACGTCATTGCATCTAATGTAGGGAAAAGGATACTTGTTTAATTTTAGTGGCATTTGAATTATTGGGATCTGGTTTACAATGAATGAGCAAGTCCCTTTCAAAAGGAGGTCCTCCATCTTCACTTCTGAATATGATGGCAACTTCCGTTACATGGGGATAATTATATCTACCCGGGTCATTATTACAATCATATTTAATTGCCATTGTTACTTCTGTGAGATGCCACCACTTTCTTTCAGCTTCAGAATGTCAACAAAAACAACCAAATTCACAATCAACAATGACATCAAAACACAAGCCCGTGCAATTGGTGCCAGCGAAAGCTTTGTATGTATCACGCATGAGTGAGTCAATGTAGCCTTTTATATATATAGAACAAACTTAATTAAACCTGCTTTCTGACGTAGCTAAACTTTTTCCAGCCCAGTGAAGCACCCCAACTTCTCTTTCAGGTAATTGTCAGCAACACAGCAGTAAATATCAACATGAAGCACATTATTATTGTATATCACACAGGGAGAACAAAGGGTAAAACATTTAACTGCAGCAGTGTTTCACTATATTCTGGGCAATGAGAAAACCTTAAGTCATTTTCAAGGTCCACCATTTCTTACTTCTTTTCATTTGGGTCAAGTTTCTAAGCGTTCTAAATCTCCATTTTCCAGCTAATAAAAAGCAAATAGGATTCTACCAAGTCTCCTATCTACCTACTCCAGGACTTCTGTGAGGATCAAATGAGATGAGGCACGGGAAAATGCTTCACAGACATTCGGTTACAGTGTAAAGTGTTTCCACGTGATGCTAGTCGTCACTTGGGAGAAGCCAGGTGTTGCTACTTGATGTCATTACCCGGACGGTTGGACACTTAGCCTATTAGCCTTTCATATTAGCCTAGCACATTCTCAACCTTGGCTGCACATTAGAATCACCTAGGAATCTTTTTTAAATCCTGATTTCTGGGCCTCATCCTCCGGAAATTCTGTTTGTTACTAATGTTGTGGCCCCGCCCCATAACAAAGAAACAGAATTTCTGGAGGATGGGGCCCAGAAATCAGGATTTTAAAAAGATTCCCAGGTGATTCTAATGTGCAGCCAAGGTTGAGAACTACTGGCCTAGCATATTAGCTACCTATGGGGAGTGGGCCTAAGGACATCCTTAGGACATCCCCTGAGGGCTCCCAGACTGTGAGAGGGGGCAGGCCAGGCTGAGGAATCCCCCCTCCAACAAGTGCACGAATTTTCATGCACCGAGCCTCTAGTACATATATACATATACTGTCCAACTGCCAGTTTAGGCCCAATCCCTGCAGTTGGACATCCAACAGCTGGACAGCTCTCTTGCAATACAGGACCGCTCACCTGCCTGCCTGCCTGCCTGCTCAGTGCAGGTCATAGCGACCGGTCTTTCCGTCATAATGGTCGCTTAAGCTTTTATATATATAGATGCTTAAATGAATACTTGACATAAAAATAATCCTCTGGAAAGCCACCAAGGGTTATTCTTTCCTTAATAAAAAGTATCAGAAAAGGCCTCAACAGCTTTTGCTATAGCTTTTCCATGTCAACAGCACTATACACAGTAGAGCCTCAAAGGAGTACTATGGTACCACATTTAGTAGATACATACAGTGTCTCTGTTAAAGTGGGCAAATAGACATGAGCTATGAGAGGTAGGTAGGCCTAGAGGAGATATGTGAGAGATCTGACATACCAGGACTAATCATAAACACCCACAAACAACAAAGAAAACCACAACAGACCCAAGAATGACAGAGGGGGAGACTTGAAACCTCTTCCAAGATGTGGTCTGATAGCACAGCACATTATCTGGGTAGGGCAGCCTTGAAGGTTCTTGCCAAGGGACATTCCAGCCAGGGGTATAAATCTTCTGAAATCCCAAGTAAGCAGGGCAGTTGGTTCTTTCAGCCAGCTGAGCTGCCCACTCAGACTATATCTAAATGGATTCCTTTTCTGGAAATAAAACTCTTGCCTGCTTTTGCTATTTGTTGTCTTTTGTTTGAATTCTTTCCTACAAGCAAGGCAAGAAACTATACCAGAGAGGCCACCTCTAACATCGCTATATAATTAATGATTTAGAAAGATCCCTCAATCCTTAGAAATTTAATTAGTTCAAAAATTCAAATTATACCTGACCTCCCCAGAGAATGGTGGTGATTTCTCCTAGTTATTGCCTGACTACAATCTGTCTGTCCTATTTAGACTGGTAAAGTTAAAGAGGGATAGAAGTTACCTGAGACTACAGTAATACATTTTAGAGATAGGGATTGAAGTTTAATAAAGACTCAGAGAAAGTAAAAGTATTTAATTTAAAATATATGAGAGAATTAGAAGAATATGGCTATTTGTATTTTATATGTAATATAATCTCACTCAATTTAATGAGAAAAAATCTTGTGTATTTTTTTAATTTTTGTATTGATTTCAGAGGAAGGGAGAGGGAGAGAAACATCAATGATGATAATCACTGATTGGCTGCCTCCTGCAAGCCCCCTACTGGGCATTGAGCCGGCAACAGGGACATGTGCCCTTGACCAGAATTGAACCTGGGATCCTTCAGTCTGTAGCCAGATTCTCCATGCTCTGAGGCAAACCAGCTAGGCCTTGTGCATTTAAAGTTATAATTTATTTTCATTTTTATCAACTATCCAATATATTATTTAAAATTTGATCACATCAACTGAAATAAATTTCATCTGTGCACACCCACTATAAGAGAACTACATGATATGCACAGGCAAAATGCAGGGATGGTGCAATATTTTCATACCAGAATTAAAGATATTAAGTGCCAGATAGTATAATGGAGCTGAGGGCTGAGGTAAAGTACAAGGGTCAATAAGGTAAGCAGAGCAGATACTGGTGTATCTAAGTACACCAATTCTTAAAAGACTCAAAAGCATTTCCAAGAAGACACTGCTCATCCATTTCTGCCAAGGCAGAAGACTGAGAGTTAGGAACATTAATTTGATTAGGGTCAAATTCAGCATTTGTAAAAAATGAAGGGTAAACTAGGGCGGCATAAATCACAAAAGCTTAATTCATTGTAATCAGTCCTTCATTCAGATGCTTAATTTTTGCATTTTAAATAGCTTTCCTGTGAGATAAATTATCTTGAATATTCTTCCCCATTTGTCTTGCAAATAGTTCCGACATAGGTCATTTAAGTGAATATATAACAAAATTATAATGAAAAGAGTAGTTAAGTCCCAATCTAAAAAATCAGTCTATTTAAGTGTATATAATTCTTCTAGATCTTGACCACGCGTCAGTGTCTCACCAGACACCCAATCTGTTGGTGCCTTGATCTTGGGACTTCGGGCCTCCAGAACTACGAGAAATAGATTTAGGGTGTGTAACAGCCAAAACAAAACCTAGCTTGTCATAAAGCAACCTGTGCTGGCTTATGCTAGAAACTTCACCCTCAACATAGTAACGTGGAAAAGTGGAAGTCAAGTTTTCAAGTATAGCAAGGTTTTCGAGAGACAAAGCAAAAAGAATGGTTTCCTGTCCCGGACCCTTCCTGAACTTGCCCAAACTGGGGTAAAGTAGTTGGGGAAGGGACCATAAAAAGGATGGTCTTTTTAATCCCCCTACCCCCTAATTTACAAACATGGACTTCAATGTTGAAAAAAGACTATCTTTGCCTGTACCCAGCTTTCAACGTTAAATTACAGCAGCTCAACAGGTGCACGCTCCATGGTTGTGCTCCATGGTTGTGCTCCAGGTTGTTACATTAACAAAGGCATCTTGCTCGGGATTGTATGTTATTCCTAACCACACGCATCGAGCAACGCCTCCTCACCATCCGGTGAGATCCAGCTACCTATCCTGGCACCAGGTTCTGCAGCTGACTCTGATGAACACTCAAGGAAACTGGGTAACTGACGACCAACACTGGGGCTGGGGACTCCATTTCATCCATTAGCGCCTAAAAGTAGTACTCCGATGCAGACCAAAGCTTTACTTACCCGACAAGTAGGAAACCCTGAGGCAAAGTCCCTCCGCGGTCCGACTCTCGCGCCGGACGCTCCAGCCGGAGCCCAACACCGCTCCCCCTTAACCCGCCGCCGGCTCGGAAGGTGGGTGTAGACGCATCCTTTCGCCCTTCACAGAGTCTTCTCGGCCAGCTCGGACCCCAGCGCCTCCGTGAGCGCCTCCCCGAGCGCCTCTCGGCCAGCGGAGCCCCAACCGCCCTCTGCTCGCGCAGCGCGCCGATTCCTCGACCGGCCCGGCCCTCAGAGACACTCGCGGTCCCCGCGAAACTGCCAAACAGACGACCGGGCCAACTGCCACTCACCCGATCCTCTGGTCCGGTCCCCACGTACCTACCACAGCGCCCTCCGAGCGGCCGTTGCTTTCTCCACAGCCGCTTCCAACCGCCACCGCCGCGCACTGAAACGCTGCCGAGGGGGCTGCGCAGAGGTAAGCCTTCTGGGGCCCACCCCTCTGGACTCCGGCCAATGGCAGCACGAACGCGCGCCAGCCCGGCCAATCAGAGACGATCAGGTGGAGTGGGCGGGGAGAAAGCGGGCAGCGAGATGGAAGTTGCCTGAGGGGGCGGCCAGTTCTGGTAGCTGAGGGCTTTTTCCCATCAGCCCTTTGGGCCTAAAGGCCGAGTGGAGCGACCAGGTGCCCGGAGCTGATTTGAGGTGATTCCAGGGACGGTTAGAAAGATTTTCCGAAAATCACTGATGAACTTTTACAAAAAGCCGCCAGCTGGCCGCAGCTTGTCAATTCGAATTTTTAAAGTATTGCATGTAAGTGTCACATGTCTTCTTTTAAAAATACATTTTTATTGATTTCAGAGAGGAAGTGAGAGGAAGAGAGAGAAACATCAATGATGAGAGAGAATCATGATGGGCTCAACCTCCTGCACAACCCACACTGGGGATCCAGCCCGCAGCCTGGGCATGTGCCCTGACCCCGAATGCGGCCATGACCTCCTGTCCATAGGTGGAAGCTCGACCACTGGGCCAGGCTGGCCGGTCTAAATATCACATTCCTTGATTATGGAGTTTTTGGTAACTCCTAAAACTTTGTGGTCCAGGCCCAGTTTTGTTTTGTTGAGTTTCCTACATTGTTTTGTTGTGTTGAGTTTCCTACATTGTTTTGTCTCCTACATTGTTTAGTCATATTGTTTCCTACATTGTTTTGTTGAGTTTCCTACATTGCCGGAGGGACTCGCCTCACTAGGCCTCATCAGAGTTCATGAGACCCACTCTGCGGCCTCGCCATCTCCCTCTTGGTGATTATCAGGCTCTATGTCAGTGGTTCTCAACCTTGGCTGCACATTAGAATCACCTGGGAATCTTTTTTAAATCCTGATTTCTGGGCCTCATCCTCCGGAAATTCTGTTTCTTTGTTACTAATGTTGTGGCCCCACCCCATAACAAAGACACATAATTTCCGGAGGATGAGGCCCAGAAAACAGGATTTTAAAAAGATTCCCCGGTGATTTTAATGTGCAGCCAAGGTTGAGAACCACTGCTCTATGTAGTGACTGAGTACTCTCTGTGCTACATGCAGAAATTATAACCATCTACAGTGGGGCCTTGACTTAGGAGTTTAATTCATTCGGAGACCGAGCTCGTTAAGGAGCTCGTTAACTCAAATTACTCTGTCAACTCAATGCAAAAAATCAGCGGAGAGACAGCTGGTATCTCAAAAAACTCATTAGTCGGGACACTCGTAAGTCAAGGCCCCACTGTACTTCGATAAAGCCCTCCCATCACGGAAGGTACAGCTGCCTGCCCTGTACTGCTAATTACTAGTTACAAGAAAAATGAGACAAGGCCAGGAAATCTAGAAGTCTAGGTCGGTAACAGAATAACAGACTTCAACCCAGTGCGTTGCCAAAATATGGTCCAGGGGGTCTGCAAGGTCAATACTATTTTCCTCAGAGTAGGAAGATATTTGCCTTTTTCATTCTCATAGTCTCAGGAGTGTTCCATAGAATTTTCCAGAATGTGAGAATCTGGGTGTCTTAAACACCAAGGAAATGGGCAAAATTGTAAAACAATGCCAATCTTCCCATAATTCTTTATTTAGGAATATAATTGAAGGGTATACATAGGGTTGCCAAGAGAGAGATGACGTGTGGGAGGGAGTGGAAGGCAATCACATTTGACCTTTGGGCAACAGGGGTTTGAACTATGTAGGTCCATTTATATGCAGATTTTTTTTCAATTGACCAATTTAGTTGACCCAGCATTTCAAACCTGAGTTGTTCAAGGGTAAACCCCCTGTTGGGAATCCATACTGCTCTTCAACTGAACAGGAGGTGGGCACCACAACCCCTGAGTTGTTCAAGGGTCAAAAGAAAAATTGGAGCCAGATAAGGAATTTGCACTTCACTTAATCAATAGTAAATAGCCTTTAGAAATCTCATGTGTATTTAGGGTAATAGGATATCTTGTGTGTCATTTTAATAATCGTAATAATTAAAATTTACTGAGCATTATGTTAACCAAGTTCATTGCATGCAATATTTTAAATTTATTTCCACATTTGAAGTTGGACAATCTTTATTGGAAGCCCTGGTAGGTTACTTAATTAGCCACATCTTGAGCAAATTAGGCTACCTCTTAGAGCAGGGGTCCTCAAACTTTTTAAACAGGGGGCCAGTTCACTGTCCCTCAGACCGTTGGAGGGCTGGACTATAGTTTAAAAAAAAAAACTATGAACAAATTCCTATGCACACTGCACATATCTTATTTTGAAGTAAAACAACAAAACGGGAACAAATACAATATTTGTATTTGCATGTGGCCCGTGGGCCGTAGTTTGAGGACCCCTGTCTTAGAGCCACAGTGATTTATCTTTAAAACATATGGACAATAATATGTAATTTATTGAGTTCCTGGCACTGATCTAAGCACTTATCCAATTTATTTCAATGAATTTCATAACACACTACATGAAGTATTGCAAAGTCAATTTGGTATTTTATTTTTTTCAAAGAAATACATGAGCCTGGCCAGTGACTCAGTGGTTGAGCATCAATCCATGAACCAGGAGGTTCAGTTAGATTTCCAGCCAGGGCACATGTCCAGGTTTCAGGCTCAATCCCCAGTAGGGGGCATGCAGGAGGCAGCTGTTAGGTGATTCTCTCTCATCATTGATGTTTCTATCTCTCCCTTCCTCTCTCTGTAATCAATAAAAACATTTTTTTAAAAGGAAAAAAAAGAAATAAATGGGTAACAGATACAACATCTTATATACATACTAGAGGCCTGATTCACAAAATTTGTGCAACAGTAGCCCTTCCTTCCCCCCGGCTTCCCTCTGGCACCGGGGACCCGGGGTTCCCTCACAGCCCTGGCTTCATCTGGAAGGACATCTGGTCTAATTAGCATAGTATGCTTTTATTATTATAGATTTCCAGACTTGTAGTAGACACTTGGTAACTATTATTATTAAAATTTATAAAGCTAAGTAACATGAATGATCTTGTTACAAATCTTGTAGCCTTTTGTATCAGAATGTTTGTTTTCTTCCAATGAGATTATGTTAGGAAGAATTTTGATTCCCATCATCTTTGTCCCCTGGTATTACTCTTATAGTTATGTTGCATTACATGGCAAAAGGGACTTTGTATATGTAATTAAGGTCACTAATTAGCTGATGTTAAGATAGAGGAATTAGTCTGGGTTTTCCAGGTGAGCCCAATTTAATCACATGAACCACTAAAGTCAGCGGTTCTCAACCTGTGGGTCGAGACCCCTTTGGCGGTACATATCAGATATTTACATTACGATTCATAACAGTAGCAACATTACAGTTATGAAGTAGCAACGAAAATAATTTTATGGTTGGGTCACAACATGAGGAACTGTATTTAAAGGGCCAAAAGGTTGAGAACCACTGACTAAAGTCAAAATAGTAAGTCATAGAGATTTAGCAGAAAGGAACTTCATAGACACTTGAAGCATGAGAAGGATTCAACCCATGGGTGTTGGCTTGTGCATAGAAGTATCCACATAGAAACCACACTCTAGAAATGAATTCTGCCCACGACCTGAGCAAGCCTGGAAGCAGATTCTTTCCCAGCCTTAAGAGACCCTAAACAAAGTTCCCAGCTGAGTCCACTGGGCTTCTGATTTATAGAACTGTGAGATAATAAATGGGTGTTGTTTTAAGCCACTTTCTTGTTATTTAGTTATGGCAATAATAGAAAACTAATACTAGCATTCGTTCTCATACCCTTCTCAGCTCTCCTTAAGGCAGTAGTGGAATCCAGGGAACTACATTCCCCAGAGGCCCTAATGGCCAGTGCTCTGGATTTATTTACATTTTTCCAAGTGGGGTGCACTTCCTGAGATTTGGAAAGTGAAAGAAAGACATAAATTACTGTTTGTTCTGTGTTTTGTTTACTTGGGCTTTAGTTCTCTTCCCTGCTAATCCCTGCCTCTCCGATATAAGGCAGCTGTGACAATCAACAGTGGTTTTCTGAACTTTTCTGGCCTCTGAGTAGTGGTGGTAGCAGCAGCAACAGCAACTTCCCTATTCCCTGGAGCACAGGAGCAGTGATACAAATGAAAACTAATGTGACAGTAGCTCCTTTAATCCTTCCAAAGACTTTTAAGCACCTAATTCTCTGTACTAAATACCATTAATGCTTGAAATATCTGGAGTAGTTTCTACTTTCATGATTATACCCTAAGTGACAGGCTTCTCCATGCTTCAGTTTTCCACATACTATCAAACCTAGAATGGGTTCACCTCTTGGTGAGTCAAGAATTGGATGGTACACCAAGGGTAGTTACCACTATCAATTGATTTTTAAAAAATATTTTCATTGATTTCAGGGAGGAAGGGAGAGGGAGAGAGAGAGAGAAAAACAGCAATGATGAGAGGGAATCATTGATTGGCTGCCTCCTGCATGCCCCCCGCTGGGGATCGAGCCCGCAACCTGGGCATATGCCCTTGACAGGAATCGAACCCGGGACCCCTCAGTCCCCAGGCCGACACTCTATCCACTGAGCCAAACAAGTGAGGACTCAACTGATTTTTTTTTTAAAAGAAATACATGGGGCTCAGCCGGTGTGACTCAGTGGTTGAGTGCTGACCCATGAACCCTGATGCCCCAGTGCTGGAACTCTGAGTGAGGTAGTCTGAGAAGTTCATGTATAGGCCCGTTTAGAGGCATTGCCTAGGACTCCAGAAGCCCTCCATCACACTCTTTCACAAGCCTTGCTGGTTTTTATAGCCAACTTAATGGGGACTTCTCTTCCTGGCACTTGAACGCTGGGTTGGGGGGCATGGTATGGAGCTGGGATCTCTTGCTCCTCAGGAGGGACCTCCTGTGATGGATA